AAAGGGCAGGTGGGGTGTCATTAATGATCATGGGGAAAACTGGAAGGAGGAAACTGAGGTCAGAAGATCACCACCAAAGGCACTTTATTTTAGAGGAACAAAAATAATTCAAAAAGTACTTGTAAATTCTATCTCCCATCAATGAAAAGAACACAAAATAAGTTTCACTCCAGCTTTGATAGCAGAATAACACACTACCTACTCTCAGAAATGGATTGAATTTTCTAATTCATTAAGGATTATTTAGATAATAGGAAAATGAATAAATCTGAACAATCTCTCTAGAATAGCTGTTACTCCATCCTGTTATGTAGGGTAGAGTTAGGCTGAATTATTTAATTGGTATTTTAATGAGACTATAAAGTTCTAAAAGTCCTATCATTTTCTCCCAAAAGCATACAACATTTCCTTTCAATGACATTTATTTGACTCAATAAGAACAATAACTTTTTTCCAAGGCTTTTTTCATGTGTGTTAAAATACCAAATTTTATGCTGCCCTCAGAATGTTGTTGTTATTATTAATGCTGATAATAGCCCCAATAAGACATATTTACAATTATGTCTCATTTTGGAATAACAGGTCATTGGTTTAAAGTCCTTTTGAAAATAAGCAGAATAAACGAACATAATTTCTACACCAGGGACAGCAGCCACACACTTAATGGAACCTAGTCATTAAACACAACAAAAGCAAAGATGAAACTCAAATCAGACACCAGGGCACAAAGCATAGCTGACTGAAGATGCCACAAAATGACCTTTCATTCACCGAGGGAACCGGATGCATTTCCATGTATATTGTATATTTTTAAAAGCAATTATTTTATATATAGAATGTAATTTAGGAAAAAGAAAACTCCCTCTATCTGTAGACATATAAACAGGAAGCACAAAGGGGTGCCTTTGCAGACATGAACCCGCATGCATAAATGCAAAGCCTATTGACCAAAATCCTTTTCTGTCTCCTAAGCTTAAAAAAACAAAAAAGCTAATTCAAGTTAGTGGTGAGCTGAAAGGGCTCAGATACAAAACACGCACATCATCAGCCTTCTAGTAGATAAAATTGAGCCATGCATAATAGAAAAGATGACGTTTCCTATGGAAATCTATTTTGAGATGTAACAATTTAAAGGCAACTGAGAGCTCAAAGCCAAGTTCAACCAAAGAGAAACAGAGCCCAAGGAAATGTACAGAAATGGACAAAGACATTGGAGAAGGAGGGGATCTGTGTTTTACCGATACTTCAGATCAGCAAATTCATACTGAATTCAAGCTAGTGATGTACCATGAGGTCACACAAGGAACCAGGCAGAAACCATCAGCCAGAAAAATAGGAACAATGTGAAAGGCAGGTGTGAGATGTGGAAGGGTTGACCCGGTGAACCTTGCTGCCATGAGGCAGGATGCTCTTGCGGGCTTTCTGCACAGGCTGGCTGGCTTACATGACTCTGTTTTGAAGGATATCAGCCAACAGCTGTGCCAAGCAGGCTACAGCCTGAGCTGAGTCACATCTAGTAACAGTTCTGAGTTCATCCTTAGACGACATGACCACAAGGATCTGAGAATCAATGGTGGAGATGTACCTGAATGAGTATTCCATTTCATTCCTTGGCAGTAAGTCTTCAGCTTTGTACAGCATAAATATTGACAAAGATATACACAGGCACCCTATTTGAAAGCCTGACTGCATAATTGCATCTAATGCAGAAAAGCGGGCTCCGTTTTGGTATGCTGGGTCATTGTTTGGCTCGGTAACCAATGCTTCTGAGACCCAAAGCATATTCTAGTATAACCGACAACACAGGAATCTCCACTGATGACTTACTCATTGCAGGGTATTCATAAAATAACCCCAGTTTGCCCAAGGGATACAGATGGTTGTCCCGTTCCCATCGTGGGGTGGTCTGTTCTGCTCCCGAAACTGTGGCACCATTAGATTCACGACCCAGCTGCCAAACAGATCAAATTATAAAGCAGGATATTATCAGACCAAGGTCATTAAATTAAACTATTACTGACATTTCAAGCTGAACACATCATCTTCCCAAGAATTTAATTTCTTGTTTTCAGGATAAATTTCTTTTTATTGCTGCCTCCCTACCCTCAAATATTGTGAAAACTAGTCCTGACTACGTACCTTGGGTTTACCAAAATTGTAACAACTACTAC